CCACAAGTTGGTGAACTGAAAGTGTAGCATTGTATGGTTCTACAACTGTGTCAGATACCTAGGATGACAGACAAACGATTAGCGAAATATTTAAGGAATGCAACATATATATATCTATTTATAATATAAAACATGTCAACTTATGTGAAATTCTTTAAAAATCACCTTTGGAGAGGGTAAAACACTGAATGTGTTCATGATCCTATCAGGATATTCCTCCCGTACTTTCGAGATTAAGAGGGTTCCCATTCCAGATCCTGTTCCTCCTCCTAAAGAATGAGCCAACTGGAAGCCCTGAAGGCAATCACAACTTTCGCATTCCTTCCTGACAACGTCTAACACCGACTCCACCAATTCTGCGCCTTCTGTATAGTGTCCTTTAGCCCAGTTGTTTCCTGCTCCGCTTTGCCCTGCAAGATACAAATCATGCAAATTTCTCTTCATCTACATGATGATTAAAATGTTAATGTTACAAATTTTGCTGTTATTACACACGTATACATCATTAAGTAGTTTTAAAATAGTTAAAACAGACAACAGAAGTTCATATGAGATTTTGTAGTAATAACAGCAAAATTAAACAATATGTTTATAAAAAAAGACAAAAAAAAAAAGACTAACAACAATCCCCAAATTGGGGAACATTGAGAAACATCATGTATCCTATAAAAATAATAATCACTAGGTAACAAAGTACGTATATTGTACAAATTCAAGTGTTATGTTACTACGCTGCTCACCAAAAATAAAGTTGTCAGGCCTAAACAGTTGTCCAAAGGGTCCAGAACGTACAGAATCCATTGTTCCAGGTTCCAAGTCCAGCAAGATTGCGCGTGGAACGTACTTTCCTCCTGTATCATAAAACAACTAAATCATTCCAACTGAAATGTTTAAAAAAAATGTACTTGTGTGTAAAATCAAATTCATACGTACAAACTTCAATTTTATGATTCTTGGCAACATTGATGAAGAACAGTCAGAAGAAAAACAAAGTTACTTTATAGTACACTCTCACAAACTACTATCGTAACATTGAACTACATTGTTTTTTTATTATTTCCTATTAGGTATTTAAAAAACGCATTTTAATTTTTAAAGTGTTTAAAGATGAACTAATTTCTTTTTACGACGAGTGAAGCAAAAATGAGATGCAAGTTGAAATCCAGAGTTGAGGTTAACTTTTTGAAAAACAAATTAGAATCTGCTAAAATAACTAATAATTAAACTAGGCAGAACTGTACTAATAATTAAGGCCAACATCCCTTAGCGATATTTACTGGAAACCATAATAAAACAGATTAATGCTGTGACAGACCTTCTTTTACAAATACTGGTAGCATTAATAAACAAAAAAAGTTCCTTCAACTCCACTGAATTTAAAGTTAAAATAGTTAGTATTTATGTCTATTACAATAACTTCATTTCCTCCCCCCCTCAACCCACTTACGTTGTTTGTTTTCTTTAAATACTCAACAAATTAAATGGTCAGTTTTGTTGTGGACATATTAAGTAACTAGTATAGTTACATTAGCGTGACCAGCCGCATGTTTAAAATCTGCACAAGCTGTTTATTCAAATTTCCTTTCCAATGTCCCTTCTAAACATAAAAATGAAACAAGGGTTATACCAATTTAACTACATCTTTTTTTTACTCCCCCTCCCCTCATCTATCAAACATCTAGTTACTAAGTCCTCTAAACATAGGCGACATTCAAGCATATCCCAAAATCGTACAGTTATATAAACATTTCCTTATATCACCAATTAATTAATTAATTAAATTATAATAAGAAACATTAACTACTTAATTATTATTCTGAAGTGTTTCAATGACTGATTTCATTTTTTGTACAACATGTAACAAAGTAATGTTTATCTATAAAAGAGCTATGAATGTCCCCCTCAGTAGCAAATTAGAGGGATTTTAACGCTAAAAATAGGGTTTCGATACTTGTGTGCACAGCACAAAATCCATTATATAATTTTGTGCTAAACAAAGAGTAACATACGTAGAATATTGTTCACGTATTGTTTTCATTATGCACTAACCAGTTATTTTAAAACAATAGAACGCTAGTGTTGTAGGGCAATGGTTTTTATACCTGGCTAATAACACGGAAATAGCAAAATGCTTAACGCATACTACTTACTGTCTTCGTTCAAAGTTTTTGGCTTATCTACGGACTTAACCTGGAACGCAGGAAGCTGAGCCATGAGTCATCAAGCACGTTTCACGTAACAATCGCGTGTACAAGTATAGGTGTAGATCTTCAAAATAACTGATACGAATACAATATTATACCAGAATAACTTAAAACGGTGGACGGGAATTTGCCATTCAGTTGAGTATACGTCTTTACAAGGGGTAATAAGATAGTTTCCAAACTTAATTAAATGATTTATTAAGTTATGACGTTTCCCATATTCTTTAATAATTCCAGACATTGTACAATTAACTTTATTTTATAACATCGCTTGAGGAAGATATTTTCGTTTCGTGTAGTTGTAATAGTAATGTTCTCGTGTACGTTATCGATCAGATCATGCAAAAGATTCGGATGAGTGTCCACGGCAGGAACTGAAGTATCATCTGTAACCAAGGCAACACGATTACCCTATGTTCATTGTGCATCGTTATAGTGCGTACACTTAAATGTTGAAATTCTGAATGTTTACATTGTGAAGTTTGCAACACAATGCACATAGCTAGTAGCAGCATGTTTAAACACCCGAGAGAAAACGGCCTTTCCAGCATTTGACAGTTTATTCTGACTTCTCCGACCTAATTTATAACCCAAACAAAAGTAAACATCTGCAAAGCGTAAAATTTAGTGTGTAAAGCTGTGTTACAATCATTTATGCTTTAGTACGCTTACGCTAGTCTAACTTGCTATTTTAAATTAATGTTAAACTAACGATGCACTGTTAACGCATTATCCCAGTAATAAATAGGGTCACGGTACAATCTCAAACCCACTCATCCTCTTTATTTTAGCCTATAAATAAGAAGGCCTTGATTCTTGTCAAAATCACAGGAACATTGTTAAATTTTTCAATGACTGCTTTCTAGTACATGTTTCTTTGTCGGAGAACAGTGACTGAAAAAACCCACGTGCTATGATGTTACACCCTCTGTAATGGAAATAACATACCTGGTGTTTACTGTATTGCGTATTGTAACGTTTGTTTAACACGTATACAAACAGTTCGTTTCCGTAGTTGAAGGCTCTTACTTCCAGTTGAAAGTCTAAACAATGAAATCGTTTTTGTTTCTCAACTGAATGTTATTTATAGGTAACGTACCCATTTACAAAACTTACCAAAACATCTTTCACAAAAAGTTTTTTTTTTTTTAATGCAATACAGACCTATTTAAGTAAAACAATTCACATACAACTTTTTCTACCGTATTTTCATAATGCGTCCAGTAACGGACTAAACAACATGAAATACTATTATCTTATAATTTGTAACCACCACGTGTATTGGGACCTCATTATACTGTCATGGATACTTCTAAAACTATTCATCCATCTTGTCAAATCTCTGTCACAAATGATGACTACCATGGACCACCAACACGGTCTCTCGAGCTTTTCTTATGCACTCAAGTATCTTAAGGTCTGTGATATCCTCTCATCTTGTTCTTTGTCGCCTTATGAAACTTTCCTTCCTTCCACTTTTTCTTCAAGCACAAATCTCTGCAAGTTGTTGGGTGATATAGATGTGGGACGTGTGGGCTTGAGCACCCACATCTCGCTCTTCTAACTTGAATTTCTTTTGATAATTTCTTCATGAGAGACTGGTCAACGGAATATCCCCACCGCAATGTGGGTCCTACTTCCGCAGTCACCTCCAAACCCTGGGCACATTATAGCCTGTACCCTAGGGGTCCTTTTAATTTATGACGAGTCTTTAATTTAAATTTTGTTTGGGCTTGTTTTTGTTCATTTAAATGTAATAACACAGGTTTGGATTTGCTGTTTTTAACGCAGTCTTTACTTTTGATTTTCTATTCTGCTTGACTGTTCAAGTGTTAATTTTCTGAACACAAATATTATATACAAGGGTATTCAGATAAAATAGTCAAACATATTACTTTCATTCATGTCCTTGCGTAATCTATAGGACAGGTATGAATGCCTTTCTGTATTTCAATGCATCTTTCCGATATCTTATTATTTTGAATGCCCAATGTTGCTTTTCTCTTCTAAATCCAAATTGTTCTTCACAAACCTCCTTGTATATTTAATGCTTTCCAATATGATCCTAATTAATAATTTGGTGACACGACTTATTGTCAGAGCAATCTACTACTTTTTCTTTCTTTGGAGAGAGAGAGAAAAAAAAACTGATATCTTTAAGTTACACATGTCATTGCACAGTTTATCAGCTTTTCAAAACTAAATTCTTCATGGGATTTTAGTATTTCAATGGATATTTCGTATATTCCTATGCTTGTTTTCCTATATTTTAGTGAATTTTCTACTTCATATTTAAAAATAGTTAGCCATTTTTCGATTTTCTGTGATGGTTTCTTCTGTCTGTTGTCTTCGAAGAGGTTGTAAACATATTCTGACCATCTCCTCAGAATTTCCTTTATAGCACTTTTTTTTTTTCTTTTCTTTGTGAATTTTGATCTCACACATGGTTTTCATCTGGTGTGAATGATTAAGGTTCTCGTTGTGCTCAAATTAACTCTAACCACTTACTTTCCTTGTTTGCGCTCCCTGTTTATCATTTTGCTGATATCATGATATTCAAGGGTATTTTTCTTCTTTCTTTCCAAGATTTAAAATGTTCTTTCATCCATGGTTGTTTAACAACTTTTAGTTGGCAATATTTCATGGCCTATTGTACACTTTCTTTGAAGTATTTCCATTGTTTTTTTTTTTTTCTTCTTTTGTAGTCTCGATGTTCAATGTTTTGTTATCAGTGCTTCGTATTTATTTCTCACTCCAACTTCATATGCTTGACTAATGTTTGGTTGTTCCATTGCTGTCACATCTATCCAGGATTTTCTTGTGCCACTGTTTAATGATTTCTTTAGGATAATCTTATTTGGCCATTAGATGATTATGGTCCGGGTTAATTTCTGCTTCTGGATGCGTCCTTATACATTTGATATTGTTCGTAAAACGATCTTTGATTATGATGTAATCGATCTGGTTTCTGTGCAAGTCTCTTTGGCTTTTCCAAGTGCGCCATTTTTTTTATTTTTTTATTTTTATTTTTTTTTTAATCATGTTAGAAGGTATTAGTTTTTTAAAAAAATTCTGTAAAACTGAACCAGTTTTCTCAGTCGTTTTTAGTGCTAAAACCATATTGACTAATACATTTAGATCTTCCATTACCATGAACACATACGTTGATTTAGAGCGTTTTATTACTTCTTTTACAATGTTTCTCTTCATCTCTGCGATCTTGTATTTTAGCAAATTATTGAAGTACGGCTGAATAAGATGTTCTGCTTTAATCTTAACCAGAATACTCTCATTTATGGTCCAAAATCTATATATCTATATATATCGATTATTATTTTTTTAGAAGGATTCCAACTTCTTGTTAATGTTGTTCACCACCAGAATGAACATTTTTTTTTTTGGATGTATTCTGCATCATATCATTTTCCGAGATTCCCAAAATGTTCATTCTTTCCGTTTCTTGGATTAGGTTATCCAATATTCCCATCATATATCGTGTACGAACATTCCATGTTACGCTACTTAGGTACTACCTCATCGTGCCACAATCGTCATTTTAGTCCTTCCTATTCTAGTTGGTGCACCTTTTCCCAGTGGGTTTTTACAACAGGTTCAGCTGCAAGGACCCGACCTTGTCTGCATCTCGGTATTCTTCCACTTTTCTTTGATCCATTGTTTCTCTAGTATGTGAACGTGGCGAGGTCACAGTCTTCCACGATGGCAGACAACTGTTCTTATTTTGCTTAGATACGCCCCTTTGTATGCCATACATTTTGTTGTTCGCCCTTACTGTTTGACACTTTAGCCCTCTTGGTCATCCCAGTCTGGGTGCACTAAGAAGTAGGTATCCCCTACTCGTAGTCCAGGAGTCCACTCAGGTAATTTAATCGGTCAGTCCAGGGTGTGGCGATTTCTGCGCACAAGCAACATCCACGGAGCCAAACAGGCAGTAAGAGCCAAAAGATATGAACCACACTATGGGTGTGGCTATCCCTTACCAGAGGTACTCTATCTCTCCTCCTTATCTGCCTCCCCCCCCCCACAAATAAATAAATACATTACATTTTTTTCATTGCAAGCTGATAAAAGTTGGCAAGGTCGGTCAACCGAATTCTTTTTCTCATAACAACTAATGATTTGAACACAAGAATATTAAAAAAAACCTTTTCGTTATGGTTAAATCACTATAACTATACCTGAAGCTTCATTGTAGTACACGTTAATCCTTTCTAACTGCAAATCAGAGTCACCATGGTAGGTACCCGTGGGGTCGATGCCGTGTTCATCCGAGATAACCTCCCAAAACTGTGGGAGAAAATTATTTATTCTTACACTCAAGAAGAAATTTCTGAAAAACCAAAAGATAAGATGCGTCATTTCAAGTTTTGATTTTTAAAATGAAATATGCGACAACTACTTTTTCCTCCAAGAAAAGGATTATTGAAATATAATTCATATTTGCAATAACAAAAAAAAAACAAAAAAAAACTTGAAAATAATAAACCAACGTTTATTCCTTCGAAGTTTATCAGCGTTATACATGCTGATGTAAAGGGGATGCCGTAAATTGATAGAAATTGAGTCTCAAGGTATTCATATAAATATAACAATTCAAGTACATTTGGTCAATTGCCTACGACTGATAACAAACTGGACAGTTGTAGATTAAATTAAATGATGCGGATGCTCCTGGGTGAAGCTGTAAAATAAATCCATTAATATATTCAGTAAGATAATGTCCTAATGTAATGTCCACTTTTAAAGGTATACGTCCCAATATTATTAATACAGGGGATAAAGGCCAACCACTTTGAGGTGTATTCCCTCATTGAGCTGAAAATTAAACCAAAAATCCTCCGATTGATCAAGATATGACATGAAACAGATTGGATTTATTATTAATACTATTATCGTCATATTTTATATTGTGGAATTGTTTTTTCCTCGATAAAGGTATCTTTAACTCGCAATAATGTTTCAACCTAAATCAATAAAGGTAGTAAACATCATTGTTTATTTTAAAACAATTCCTCGCATCTAAAAAAAAATAAAAATAAATCAAGTTTAGGTTCTTGCAAGATCTAGCTTTACTATTTTGCTACAAACAACGAAAGGTTCCCAGCTAACGTTTAGATTTTGAAAACCAGTTATAAAATAAGCCTTGACGTACAATGAAAAGAAAGACGGAGGATAAATAGTAGTAAATAACTATATATATCGTTTTAAATAAACATTAATTTATTATAAAGATCAGTTGCATGACATTTTTTTCCCCAAGTCACACTTTTATTTGCATATCATTTTGTTACTATTATTCGCAAGCCTTTAAAGGGACCAACTTATATGAACAATGGATTTTGATGAATGATGTAGTGTGGTTGACACAGCATATCATTTTGTTTTCATTTACAAGTTTTTATAATTATTATTAATGTATACTTTGGAAAGTGGATTTGACGTATGGTCAGTACAAAGAAAAAAAACCTAAGGTCGTGAGGTGTACAAAACTAATAATATATCCTAAAGCTTATTTTTACTTAGAAAATGTCTTAGTATCAGTCATTCATTAAAAGAAGACTGAACGCACATTAAGTAAATATCCACACAAAACTCCTTTTGATATATTAAAATATATCAACAATTTTAGAAATACCATACTACAACAATACAAATTATAAATCAACTTAAATGTTTAGCTCATATAGGATACCTGATCTAGTATTTAATCATTTCATTTAAAAACTACAATTCATTATCTTAAAAAAACAATTATATTTAATCGAGAAGTTTCTTAAATTTTATACAATTTTTATCATTAGAGGTAAATATTTTTGGGGCTCAATAAATAAATATGTATGTGTATATTCTTTTTTTAACAATTGAAAGTTTGTATTTTAATCACTACATTCT